GCCTTTTACACAGAAGAGGAAAAAGGAGGTGTTAATTACTGGGCCCATCTCACAGAGCTTTAGTCCTTCACTGAGTCCTCAGTCACAGTGTTTTAACATGTTCCTGCTAATCTTCCTGGCCTTTCCACTGGCCTCTCTCTTAGACCTGTCACCCCTCTTTCCTATTAAACACACAGTGACAGATTCTTCACTATGTGACCTCTTAACCTTTACTGGCTCATATGACATGCTGAGCTGTAAGCAACTGAAGCCTGTTTGAACAGGACTTTTCAGTCTTTTTAGTTTTAGTTTAAGCCAACGTGATGAAGGTTGGGTGAAAATGCAAGCCTATAAAATACTGCTTAGTTATACAAATGACTTGGACCACTATTCAGTAACGGGCACAGTTTTGCAGGGCTTGTCTTTGGCCCTTAACTCAGCTGACCTATTTATTGCAGTGCTAATACACATGTTGTTAATCCTTTGTAGTGTAGGGTTGTTATCATTACTTTGCTCTAATATTTATATCTAATTACACAATGATATGTTTAGTTACATAATACATTACGCAATAAATTACATATACATTTAAATCATTCTGTATCAACAGCTTTGAATCTTTATTTCTGACTTTGTCTGTTTGTTTCAATGTTAATAAATGAGAAAGACAAGCAAAAATGTAAATGATATAATAAAACAAGACCATTCACACAATGCTAACTTTTCACTGAATTCAAATCATAATACAATATCTCCTCCTCTGCTTACAGACACAAATGTGGTATGAAATAACAGTTTAGAATCTGCTCTTTCCATAGAATTTATCAATTTTTTTGACGAGTAATGAGTGAAAAATTAGTTAACCTCCAACATGGCCGGGGACCACCGGTGGGCCCAAAGTTTTATTACCCACTTCTATAATCTAAGAATAGCTCATCCAGTTTGCATTGAAGTCCCTGTAGTTACTGAATAATAAGCCTTAGTATGTTACAGGCCTGGGATTTTAAAGGGTTACTATACAGTTTGTCACTGTCCAGACTAAAACAAGTATTTCCAACATGGTAACTTGTTAAAAAAAAAAAAAACAACATGGTAAAAAATCACAAAAAATGACTGTATTTTTCTCAGACAGTGACGATTTTCACCATTCATTTGTTACTGGCAATAACTGCAACGTCTAAGGCCCTTATTTGCAGAACTTCTGTGGTGCCCTTTAATATAGAGAAGTACCTTTCAAACGGTTGTGTATTTTCAAATAAGATGACATAAAAAACGTATTAATTCTGTAGATTCCATACCACATAAGTCAAGTGCCCAATGAATAAAGATGTTTAAAAACAAATGATATTTCATAGAAAGCAACTGAATACAAACATTTGTGTAGTGACTGGATGCACCATTAACCTAAAAAAAGTCCTGTGATGTGGGCATTGAAGGAAGTGGGCTTCAGCCATCATAACCTATAGACACCTTTGAAAAAACCACTTGTGGTAGGATAGAGAGGGAAGACAAGAACGGACTCTCAGAACACTAGAAGAGGGATGCACTAGAGAAAAAACAAGAAAGAAAAAAAGAAAAAGCATAAAAAGCCTGAATCCATGTTAAATAGTAAGTAGTATAAATGAAGAATTTGTATTTATCTTTGTTTATTTATCCTTTTATTTTTCTTTGTTTATTACCAATATCCCCTCTTTGTTCACTTTTCTGTTTAATTGGTTTGTGGACAATAAACAAGAAAAAAATAAAGGCAAATAAAGCCTATTTTTATTATACTGCTTTTCCATTCAGTATAACAAAGCATAATCATAGGTAACACAGTAATATTCCTTGTAGTAATAAAACATGAATAACCACAAACCTTTGGCAATTCAGTAGTAACAGTAGTAATAATAAAGTAATAAACAGTGTATAAACAGTATGTAGCAAAAACAGTTTTTGTTTGTCATCCAGTGTATATGCTAAGAATATCTATGTCCATGCATAAATTTAACTATCGGTAAAAATACAGCGCTGTGAAAAAGTATTTGCCTGGTTATTTGGTTTCTTCTATTTTTGCTCATTTGTCACATCTTAAGTTTTTCAGCATTTAATGCAATGTTCTGTGGGTTGATTAGTTAAAAGTGGAACGTTTTAGAAGGAGGGGTCCCGTTAAATCTGTCTGGCTATAAGCTTACACAGCAATCCAAAATAAGAACACCATAACACCAGTAAAACATGGTGGTGGGAGTGTAATGGTGTTTTGATGTTTCAGGGCCTGAGCAACTTGCTATAATTGATGGAAAAATGATTTTTTCTCTCTACCAGAAAATCCTTCTGAGGAATGTCTGGTCATCAGTCCAAGATCTGAAACTCAAGTGCAATTAGGTATTAAGCAAGACAATGATCTAAAGCACAAGAGCAAGTCCACTTCTGAGTGGCTCAAAACAATTAAAATTAAGGTTTTGGAGTGGCCTAGTCAAAGACCTGAAATAACCTCTTTAGAGATGCTGCAGCAGGATCTTAAACAGGAAGTTCATGCTGGCTGAATAACAACAAATTTGCAAAGACTCTACTCTACTGATTTAGTATGACAAATATGCAGAACTAGAGGAAATCAGGAGGGGGCAAATATTTTTTTCACAGCACTGTATACACCAGAAACAAATACACAAAGAGAGACACAAACAAATAAACTAGCTGTGACAATATAAGAGCAGAATATGTAATCTAGAGGCTAACTATAGATTGGCTTGCATGAGTTGGTTACTCATTGTCCCTCAGGCTACAGTTACTGTAACATAGATCTACATTGAACGAGTGCCCATGGTCACCAGACTATTTTGACCACCTTAGAGCCCCCTGTGTGTCCGTTCACTTTCCTGCTGTACTCAAAGTGTCACCTGCATGTCCCACTCACCCTTCTGATGATACTTGTGCTGGCACAGACTTGAATTAGTCCTTTTCAATCACAAACACTGTTTTACCTGCCTCACACTAAGCTGAGTTCTTCACATATTCACAGTAACATGTCGCTGTGATAGGCGTGAGATGGTATTCATTGGTGTTCATGGATGTTGAACTCTCATTTTCACTGTGATACGCTTTTAACAGCAGTCACTGGTTTTCATAGATCTATTCCTCATTATTACTCTGACAGGCCTCTAACAGTAGTCAGAGACCATGAGTGTAACAGTAACACAGTAACACTGATTGGTTTTCATAAATAAACTGTTAGAAAAAAAGATTCTGTACAGGTAAATTTTTTGTTCTTTGAGGTACAAACAATGTAAATGTTCCCTCAAAGGTACAACAGCGGTTTTAAGGCCTGGTTGTGTATCTAAAATAGGTTTTCCCCAGGTGAACATTATGTATTTGTACTTTTTCATAACCTAATGATTCAAAACAGAACAGTAAAATAAAAAGCCTAGAGGTGAGACGGGGTGTGTGCAGTTAATACAACTTAGACAATATAATTTCAATAGATTATGGTACCGTTATGTTCCCTGACTAAAGGTACTGAGATGTACCCTTGAGGGTCCCACCCCAGTGACAAGAATGGTACTGCCCCAGTGACCGTTTACAACCTTTATTTCTGAGAGTGTATATTTCTCATGTGTTATTCTAACAGGCCCCTTCCATTAGTCAGCAACAGTAACAGTGACTGTAACAGTAACACTAGTAACACAGTAACACTAGTAACACACACTGTTACTAGTCATTAACAGTTTTTAGAGATATATTTCTAATTTTTTCCCTAATAGGCCCCTAACAGTAACTTAGTCAAGAACAGGGACCATTTTTCATAGATCTATTTTTCTATCTGTTACCCCCTCAAACAGTAGTCAGTAACAGCAACTGTGAGTGTAACAGTAACACTGTTACAAGTCAGTAACAGTGACTGGTTTACATGGATCTGTTTCTCATTTGTTACTCTGACAGGTCTCTAAGAGTAGTCACTGGTTTTCATTAGTAAACGTAAATGCTTCTGTCCAATGACAGGCTGGTTTGTTCTTTTAATCGATATTCACTATTGTATATTCATTATCAAATCTTGTTCTTTATTGGTGGAACTTGTTGTATTATTGTTTTGCTATTCCATGTTCACCAAAAGAGGACGGCTTCCCCTTTTGAGTCCTTGTTCCTCTCAAGGTTTCTTCCTCTTGCTGTTAGGGAAATTTCCCCACCACTGTCGCACTTGGCTTACTTGTTTGGGACACGGATCTTGATTTTCTGTAAAGCTGCTTTGTAACAATGCCCATTATAAAAAGCACTGTTTAAAAAAATCTTGACTTGACTTAACAAATCGTCACTGTCCAAAGAAAAACATGTATCTCTATTTTTTGTCAGTTTTTAGTTTTCCGCATCATTTGAGCATGGTGGCTGTCCAGATCGTGTGAAAATTTTATGATGTATAAACCAATAGCAATGCTCTAAAATGACTTGGAATGAAATGTCTTCACATTGGCTTACATTAAAAGTAAAGAACGTGTTTTGCCCTCTCCTGTAAAGTTAACATTTTGGGGATACTTGTTTTTCTTTGGACAGTGATGATATGGAGTAGCAATAAGAGCAGTGTGCCCCTCTCCTAAGATAAACATAATCGATAGTCCATGAAATATGTTCCTAACGTTTTTGACAGACTTTTAAAATCAGCCCCCTCACAGATAGCTGTTCTGCCTGTTTCTACCGCATTTCACTTTGTCCTACTATATTTGATGCTAACCCCACTATCTGGCGCGGCCCAGAGGAGGATGGCTTCCCTTTTTTGGTCTTTGTTCCTCATGCTCTTAGGGAATTTTCCCTGTCACTGTCGCTCTCCACTTGCTCATGAGTGGTAGACTGGGGTTTGTGGAAAGCTCTAATTGTTACCAAAAAAAAAAAAATTCATTTGACAAACGCCTGCTGGATTTCGCAAAAATGTTTTCTTAGATAAAAAAGTACCGTATAAATAAATTATAATCTTTTTTTAATTACTGAAAGCAAATATGGCGTACTACTGTACTGAAAAACACCTGCTGTGACGTGTCCAGGTAAGTCCGCACGTGACCCTCATGGGCCTCCCCTGACGTCACGCCGGCAGTCAGCTGATGTTCAGAGGACTGCGGTGGACTGAGTGGGACAGAACCGAGTGGGAGTCTCCTGTTCAGCTAATATTATCATATTGTGAGTAAAATAACTCGGCGACTTCACTTTACGCTCATTAGGAGTCTTTGGCTGTGTTGAGCTGATCTTCTGACGGCTTTTATAAGCACTTGTAAAGCCGTAGCTTTAATAGCTTTTCTCTGTGGCAGAAACATTAACCTGCTGCTTTTCGGGTTGACTTGTTAGCATTAGCTGACTGGCTAACTCTGCTTATGTGATGTAAGTTAGGTCACAAAAGTAAGTTTATTCATTTGACTCGTCTTCATTTGCATGTTTAATGTTGTTTCAGTTGCTACAGCACATGTAATCGCTGTAAGGCCATTACTTGAAGAAGCTGTGGAAACTGTTGTGAGCAGCTATAGTTGCGTTGAGGCAAAACTTGTGTTGACAGTTCAGATTAGCTTGTTAGCTCACTGGTTTGCTTTTTAGGCTTCTGTTATCGAAGGCTTAGCGGTTAGCTAACTTCTCTAAGATCTTTCTGTGAGAGGTTTGGTAAATATAATCCACGAATTTAGGCTGCTGCTGTGTTGTACCGTCTTTTAAGACGTTTCTATCAAGATTTCCACGCTTTAGCGATGTTGAAGTACCGTTAACGTCACTGGTTATGAGATCTTTCACTGGGCTTTTAAAAACAAAAGAAACAGGGCAACCCAGGACTCTCGTCACCCAGGAGTCCAAAATGCGCAGAGAATAAAATTTCTACATTCACGAATTCATTTGATCAGTTAGCGACACCGTGTAGCATCAGATATGTATGTTGTTTTCATTATTATTGTGGAATATTTAGTGGGGTGAATGAATTAATCCATTGCTGCCAACATGTGGATGCCGTGGCTAAAGAGACTCGGTTTTAGAGAAGGACGGATTGTGGATTATTCAATACACAATGAATGCTTTTGAATCTTAAGACGTTAAGTCTCTTATTCTGTAGTAGTATCGACACATGCCTCACGGTTAGGCTCACGGGTGGCTAAATCTCGTGTGTGTCTTAATTCCTTTAGTCTTGGGTGTGTGTGTCTACGTGTATGTGATTTAAAGGGGAATTCCACCCATTTTTCAAAATGTCTGCATAATTAAACGGTGAAGATGTAAACAAAATCATTCAGAGTGATTTAATGTGAAACACTTTGTTCTAGAGAAACCTACTGAATCAGAATTGTTCACAGTGGTGGTGATAGGCACCAGATATCCATCCATCCATCATCTAAACCGCTTATCCTTCAGGGTCGCGGTGGGGTGCTGGAGCCTATCCCAGCTGTCATTGGGCGGAAGGAAGGATACACCCTGGACAGGTCGCCGGTCCATCGCAGGGCAGCACCAGATATCCAATATCTCTAAAAGCTAGTTAGTGTTATGATAAGGTTTTGGCCTAAAACACTTTTTAAACGCTTACATGGAGGGTGTTGTAAGGCAAAGTAGTCCCCAATGAAAACATACTTTTTTTTTAATTTCACACTTTTTCTTGTATCACCTTACAGCATTAAGTACAAAAACTCTACACATAGGCTACATATAGGCTGTTTCTCTTTGCTCTCTCACACTTATATTGACTCATCGCCTCGTTACCAAACCCTTCATAAGGATGTAATATATATCTAAAACAAAAGAATTACTACAATATGCAGGAACAGAACCCGCCTCGTATCTGTCTCATACTTGGGTGGATGGAGAGAGTGGAAAAAGTGCAGGGCTCGCACTCCACAGCCTGTTGCATTATTGAACATGCTTCGAATTTTCCATGAGACACACATGAGCAGTTTCCTTACTGACGGTGGTGTAATAAAATTTGAATTAGTGGAAAATTTCAGATCAATAACTATATTGTGAGATTGTAGTCTGGCGCTGCAGATCCGTCCCTGTCCAGGTGGTGGTTAAGTGTAAAATAAGCGTAAATGAAATGGTGCATGTGGGATGTTTAATGTATTTCCAGGGCCCAGTATGTGGAGTCATATGGCTCAGCTTTAATCTCTAATCTCCATTGTTTCCCAACTCATGTCTTATAGTTCCTCTGCACAATTGAATTCTTTTTGCTGCTGTACATTTACATGCAGAAAACATGTAAATAAATACAAACAAAGGGAGGTTGGAAACAGAGCTTGAGTCAGGCCTGAAATTTTTATAAGAACCCAAATATATAGCCTGAGATATTTCTGAGTCAGAGTGGATCCAACCCGAACCACGTGGTTTATCTATCCTGACTGTAGCCTGGCAAAACTCTTATCTGACCCTGACCCAAACCTGCTATTTCACTTTCATTCATATTGTGCTTAAGTCAAAATGTTGACAATTACAACAAAAATAGAAGTCAAATTTGTAAAACTCTAGGGAAAATAACTCTTTGAACAGTTAAAATGTGTGTACTCAGCTGCTTTCTTTGTTTTCTTTTGCCATAACTCACTGTCTTAGCTGTTTCGTCTTAGCAGTAAGTCGTGGCGAGACTCAGCTCTATCCCCTAAGGGATTCAGTTCTGGTGAATATCCAAATGCCCCATTGTATTTTCTGATTCTTTCTGAATGCCAAGTTTCTTTTCCCACAACTGCGTGTGCTATCACATGCTATAGGAATGATGAGACATCAGTGAAGCAGAAGATTCCATTCATGCTTTCTAGGTGCACCATTACTGATTATAGATGTGTGATAGTGATCAATTGATAAATGCAACTTTTTAGCCTGTCTTCTTTGGCCTTTACACAATATCACTCAGAGGTGGATGATGTGGAAACAATATAGCATCACAATATGTAAAGATACTTTCTTGTTCCATGAAATGTATCACACTTTTTCCATGTTCTGGTTGGAGTGGATTAAATGCAGCAGCAAAACTGTAGTGCCACATTTAAAGGCTATTTAAAACCGTTTAAGAAAGAAGCTGGTAAAAAAGTAAAATAATATAGTAAAAATAAACAAATAACATAAGACAAAGGCATTATGGACTGACAACCATGACATGCCAGCAGCTACATGTTACCAAGTAGTTTATATATTTACGTTACACTGGTTGTTCTTTACAGGCTCTCCATAAAAGCTGTCCATATTTATGATACATGCGGTCGTTCTGTTGTTCATAAAAGCGTATTATGATTTATCACAGTAATGATAACATATTGTCACATTGCCCACCTCTAGTATCATTCTTAGCGCAGCTTTTGCTGAGTATATGATAAAATCAACATGAAAAGTGGATACTGCACTAGTACTTTTTTCTGTAGCTAAATTTGGTTTATCAAATTTCTCATGTGTTATCAGCTCAGAATTATAAGGCTGTGTCTGTGTTCAGTGCAGTTTTGTGGGTGAAAGATTTCACTTTCAAAATAGCAGAACTCTTTTGTAGTATAGTCACCTTTCATATCCTAACAAAGTCATTGTCTTGAGATACGTTTGAACATTAAAATTGTAAGATTTTTGGAAAAGGTCTTTTCCAGAATGGACCAAATGCAGAGAGAACCTTTTCATTCTGAGAGCTGTCTTTAAGGTTAGAATTATAAGTTCTGTCTGTGAATAAACGCATACTGGCATGAAAACTTCACCACACAGTTCAACTCTTTATTTATGTTCATAAATACTTATAATGGATGCAATATAGTACAATGTTTAGCATTAATGTTATTTTTCTGATATTTGTATAGGTTTCCTGAACCACATGAGTAGCATTTTGATTTAAAATATAAGATGAGAGTTAAACAATATCAAGAAATAAGCACCAGAGCAGTTTAACTTCATAGTACAAATCTACTGTACTACATCAGTGTGAGAATTCGTTACTGTGGGGAAATTGTACTGTGTACACTATGTATATGAGAAAAGTAGTATGACAATAGGATAACCATATTGCTGCATCATTATAAGGGGGAAAAAGGAGTGTAAAAAACATGTTCATTAATAAATATGCATTGTGGTGAGTAAACATGCATAATATGAAGCTGCATTAAAAGGTCACACATTTTACCCATCTCACTGTTGTAAGCATTAACTTCTGCATCTTAGATTTAAACAGTTTAGTTCTGAATTAACTTTGCAGCCTGCAGGGTAGGAGCTGTAAGTGGAAGTGTTAACGTGTTGTTTTTCAGCTTTGAGTTGATCTGTGGTATCAGGCTTATAAAACCCTCCCTTCCTTCCCCTCTGTAAAGGCACGCTGCTGCCTCAGTGCAGATATCTCACACTTCACGCTTCAAACTAAACACTTTTTCTGTTTAGATGTGTGTCTGTTCTGGTTGGTTGCTTAACAGCGGTTTACTGCCAGTTTTTCCTTCTGTTTATGACTTGTGAACTTATGGCTGTGAACTGAAACTGTTGTTTGCTTTCTGCAAGTATGAGCTAACTTTGAGCTAGCTTTGTCTTTCTATAATGGTATAGTTCTTGCCATTCTACCTCACATTTACCTTCACTCTTTTTTTCAGATATTTCTGGGTGGTGTGGGGTGGTGTAGCGTAGTGCATCATGGGGGAGCTGTTCCGTAGTGAGGAGATGACTCTGGCCCAGCTTTTCCTGCAGTCTGAGTCGGCTTACTGCTGTGTCAGCGAGCTTGGGGAGATCGGCATGGTGCAGTTCAGAGATGTGAGTACACGCTGAAGCACAGGCACCAAAAAGGCCCTTTGAAAGGAGAGTGGATAGCAAATGAATAATTAACTAGTGCCATACGTTACTTCTAAAGGATCCTGTTTCAAAGCCTCTCCTGTTTGTTTTTGTATTTTAAAGGGACCTACTTTTTTGTTTTTTATTTGTTTATTTATCCCTTTGCTATAAATTACATCATTCTTTGCATCAAACTGTTTTGTTTTAACAAAGCAAATAAAATTTAGTTTTCCAAGATATGGACCCTTTAAAGAAAACATTTTGTATCAAAGTCACTTCAGTTATCTGATAATAAGAGGACTCAGTCAGGCCATGTAAATATACATCCATTTAAGAGGAAGGAACAAAGGAATTCTTTACTCTGCCTTTCTTACTTGATCTAGAACCTTTATTTAGTCAGCTGATTTTAAAATGCAATGTACGATACTGTGTAAGCGCCCTTCCCTAACTCAGTTCACCCTTCTGTTCTTGGAAATCACAGCTGAATCCCGATGTGAACGTCTTTCAGAGGAAGTTTGTAAATGAAGTGCGCCGCTGTGAGGAGATGGACCGCAAACTGCGTGAGTCAGCAATGCATCATATGCATTTCTCCAGAGAATGATTAAATCCTATGGAGCAACCCAACGGATGTTTTGACCATCTTTCATTCCTCTCTCTCTCGAACTCTCAAATTCACTCTTTCTCACTTTTTTTTACAGGATTCGTTGAGAAGGAGATAAAGAAGGCCAACATAAATATTGTCGACACAGGGGAGAACCCAGAGGTCCCTTTCCCTCGAGATATGATTGACTTGGAGGTATGAATGTCTGAGAAATGTATATCAATTTAGCGCACTTTAATTTGCTCCACTCCATTTTATATTAAGCCATTTCTGAGACCATGTCATATAAAAGCAAATTCACTGGGGGAGCATAGATTCTACTAGACGCTTTTTCTTAAGATGACGGTTCAGACTATAAGTAACATGCCTTAGCACAAAGTACTCAACTCATGACCTGATACCCAAGTGCCCATATAACTGTATTGCTGTTCAGCCAGTTTGTTTGTCATTAACTCAATGGTGAAATGAGGGCCTTGCTGTTTGTTTCTTTATAGAATGTGGCCAAATTTATTCTTGGATCATACATAATACAACTGAGGCTCAAAACTGAATCCTAGCTCATCCAAGGACGTTTTCACACCTACTTTGTTACGTATGGACCTATCAGACCTTTTCTTTTGTTTGGTCCGTTTTGACAGGTGTGAACAGCCAAACTCAAGTGTGCACTAAACACATAATTCACAGTCTGGCCAAAATTGTGGGTCTCTTTTTGCTTCCAAGTGAACTCTGGTTGAGTTTGCTGCTAGTGGGAATGCATTTATGTGATCCACACCAAATGAGGGAAATCAATATCAGAGCATGCTGTTCTGCTTCTTCTAGCAGCATTTTAGTGCAGTACACTTTGCTTAATCTGCCTGATTTAACATCAGACAATTTAAAGACATTCATAACATTCTTGCAGCATGAGCTACTCCTAATAACGACAGACCAGCAGTAAATTAATAGTGAAGAATTGATTTTGGAATGTACTACATAAGTGACCTGATTGGTTTGTCAATTTAAATGCAACCAATCATAAAGGAGCAGATATCAAGTAGAGTTTATTATTATTTCTTTAATTGTGATACACACATAAGTTAAGCATCTCTATTTTCATGTAGGAGTTTTGTGGCTCAAACGGTAGCAAATGTGAGAATAACAGAGTGTTTTTATTCCTGCAAAACGTCTGACCAATAAACAAGCACTCACATGTATAATTGGTGCACTTTAGCCGTTGCAATGTGAAGCCAACCGAACCAAATGAAAACGCCACATTGTCACAAAAAGCCAAACTCTAGTTCGGACTTTAGCAAACAAATTAGCTATGAAAACAGAGTAAGACTCTGCGCTGCTATGCTGAGTTTGTACGTAGGCTGCAGTTTAGGGTGAATTGCTTAGTCTGCCAACCACTGGCTTCCTAGCTGTCCAGAGTGATAGTTAATGCAGAGTTGTGGGCTAGTTTTCCTCCCTTATCTCAATGCTAATTTCAGCATGTAGTGAGACCACTCCTACTAATTTCTCTGCATCCATTATCATGATGTGATTTGTTTGATGTGTCTTTGTGCAGGCCACATTTGAGAAACTGGAGAATGAGCTGAAGGAGATCAACACTAACCAGGAAGCCCTAAAGAAGAACTTTTTGGAACTGACTGAGCTCAAACACATCCTGAGACGTACACAGCAGTTCTTTGATGAGGTCTTGAAACCATTAAGCTCTCTTCATTGTCCCTCTGGAGCTTTATTTTCCTAATTTTGTCCAGTCCTAGAATTGTTTTTCACCAAAGGACTAGCAGTAAATTATTTGCTGTCCATGAAAGGTGCTGATGCAGTTACAGAACATTTGTCACACCCATGTTGTGTAAAATTTAGTCAATAGTTGTGTGTTGTAATGTTTTTACAGATTACAGATTATTTGCCACCATGAGTAATCATAGGAAGATGTGTAATTACAGGCAAAAAAAAAATAAAACAAAGAATCTGTTGTGACATTGAGAGGGTTAGATTGCCCAACTCAGTGTCAGTCTTTTAACCCGTTCAGCTTTTTACTGCCTCAGTTGAGGAACTTTTTATGGAAAAAAAATATGTATGGTACAACTTTAACTCAATCATTTATTCACCACAGCATACCTCTTTTATTTCTGCTGTGATCTTTGACCAGAAATCGCTTGGTCTCTCTTTGCAGGTGAACTTTATAAGGGTATTGTCCTTTTTACAAGATAATATGGGCTCTGATGAGTGTAAATCAGTTAGCTGTATGTCTTGTAATCATTTACTTCATCTAAAAAACACTTCCGTTCTTCACAGACAAAACGTCTAAGAATTTTTGTGGTCAAAGCATATATTGAAGCAGCTGTAATGGTTGTCTTATAAACAGTACAGTACACTGCCAAAATAATGGAAACACTTCAGCAATTAAGTGATATATAGAGCATGAGTTGGTGCTTCAAAATAGGTGTGGCTCAGCTCCTGAAAGTGCGTTTAAGGGTTATTCAGGGTACTAAATACAGGCCTTGAGACACACCTTGTTCTGTGTTTTTTTTTTTTTGTGTTTTTTTTGGTTTGTATGGTTTACTTATTTTGTTGTTTTTCTCTCTCTCTCTCTCTCTCTCTCTCTCTCTCTCCTCTCTCTTTCTCTACCATACAATAGTCTTTTAATCAGTAATCAAACACAGATAAACATGTACGTATAACTATAGTTGTTATACACATATTACAAGCTAGTGCTGTAATTTATCAGTGGAGCAACCTGCTTTCCCTCAAGCTGTGGCACTTTTATACATGTCTGCTTTCCAAAGAGGCATTATATTCTAACAATATTTTCAATTTCTCTGTTTAAGGCAATTAACGTAGTTCTTCTATTTTTTTTTCTCTCCTTGTCTCTGAGTGTCTGTTTCTTTTCCGCCTATTTAACGATCCATTTGTCTCTCCATTTACAGATGGAAGACCCGTCTCTGATGGAGGAGTCATCCACTCTACTGGATCCAAATGAGGTTGGACGTGTGGCTCCTCTCAGGCTGGGGTGAGCTCCCTGTGCTTCTGTGGTCATCTACTAAGTTGTTTTCTGAAGCATTGTTTGGGTTATTCCTACATCTTTTACCTGGCAGTCTTAAATAGCTTCATCACTTGAACTGGAGCTACTGTCTGTCAGTGCCACATCTTTCTCTACTATATTTACATCATGGCTTTAGACAGGAAGATTCTGATGAATAAGGATCAAGTACCTCTAAAAATCTGTTTATGAAGAGATCTGAAAAATAAGAGCTAATTAACGGAAACCAATACACCACTAAGAATTCCGCAAAGCTCTTTTTCCAGTGTTACAAAATTGATACTACCTATTTTTTAAACTATATTGGCCAATATCATCCTTGCTTGAGAATCCTATATATAAGCAATATAAGAAATATAAGCTGCCATGCTGTAGAGGCTTGAGGCTTCCTACAGATGAATTGATCATAATGAACAGGAAGACACAAATGATTGTTTATAAAGGTGTAATGATAGTTTATAATGCTATTATTAAAAGCCTTATTTATGTACACATCAAGTAGTAAGTCCTCAATGTTAGGGTTGCTGCTGTGATGCTGAAATGCTAGTGGTAACGTTTGCTCTTTTCTAGGAAGTGATGTTTGTGGTTTTATATAACCCGATAAACAACTAATGCATAGCCAGTGCTAATGCTAGGGGGAATTGGGATTGATCTGGGGGCTCCTTTTAGCTAATACTCATAATGTGCAGTACATCTGCTGTGTTGATTTCGGCCAGCTATATGTTTATGCCTGTGGCACAATGGCAAAAGGCACGTTTGGCTGATTCAGACTTAAATTAGTTAAAAAGTTAAAGTGTGACTTAAACAGAATTGTAGTTTTTAGTGTACGTCTGTCACACTACATTTTTCTTATAATTATGTTTTACAAATCATAGGATCTACTCGATTAAAATAGTGTAATCAGACATCATATAGTATGCCACCTTTGATTACCACATGCAATCATATTTTTAAGATTATTATTAAATTAAATGTATGAATGAGTTGTTTTTGCGTGACTGAAGTTGGGAAGATTGAAGAAAAAAAGCCACCCGAGGCTGTGCATTACAGTGATTTTACAACGGTGAGAAGTTGTTAATAAAAACCCCTTAACTGTGTTAAAATCACTATAATGTATGGCCTTGAGCAGCTTGGTGCTTTCATAAAAAGACAGCAAAACTATTACAGTGTTTGTCAAAAACTAATTCCATAATGATTTTTAATTGAATAATTCTAAATTAAATTATTTAATGTATTATTAATAATAACTACAATAAACAGTTACTCCAGTGAGCTATTGAGTTAGTGAAATTCTGCCAATTTTTCACAATTTCCGCATTGAGTGGTTGAGGTGTAAACGGAGTCATTCAGATTGGTAAAAGGTAAAATTGTTAATTGTAGAGAAACTTGCTGGCTTTGATTTCTTTACAGTGGTGGTGATGGGAACCAGCGTCTACACTGCAAATATAGCCATTTTATGTACTAGCCAAACTACTGGTAAACCTACATGTTTCTTATGTTTACTTATAGAAACTATTTTGACTTACAACACTCTATATGTACCTCATCACCGTGAATGGCTTTTAAAAGCAATTTTAAGCCAAAACTGTCACTCACTATCATAAAACTAATATCTTAGGCGTCTGTAATAACATTTCTTGTAATAACAATGGGCCTCATTCAACAAACGTTCTAAAAAAATGTCTTCTTAAAACGCACTTATGCAGTTTTCAGAGATTCTGACATTCACCAATGTCTTCTTGTGTGGGATTGGTCTAAGGTAAAAACAGAATCTACACACACTCAAGAGCACAAAGGTGCAAACAATTCTGCGGTTTAAGACCACGTCATGAATCTGACATATACTTTTTCTTTATCAAGAGCAAATTTAAGAAAAAACTTTCGATATTGGTGATATTGGTGAATGAGGCCTATTGTGAGGGAGCTTCAACACTTTAAACGCTTCAGATATCTGGTTTCTATCACCACCACTGTGAACAATTCTGATTCAGTAGGTTTCTCTAGAACAGAGCATTTCATATCAAACCACTCTGAATAACTTTGTGTACAACTTAACCATTGAATTACGCAGGCAAATCGGTGGAATTCCCCTTTAACAGTAGGCTGTAGCTGTCAAGCAACATAACATTCAAAAGTTAATCTATGAACAGCATAGTGGTGTTTATTAACTTCACAGATTAATACAGAATTCAGTTGATGTGTGCAGTCCTGTGTGTTGTTATTTAACAATGACTTTGAGAATGTGGCTCGTTTAAAGCATGTAAACTAGTAATTGCTAAGGACATATTATTTGCTCCTGGGCAGTTTATTCACACATAAATTTGACTTTGTTGCATCTTGCAGGTTTGTGGCAGGTGTGATTGGCAGAGAGAGGATTCCCACCTTTGAGAGGATGTTGTGGAGAGTTTGTCGCGGCAACGTGTTCTTACGCCAAGCAGACATTGAGGATCCACTGGAGGACCCAGCAACTGTTAGTGCTCTTCCAACAGCCTGATCAGAAACGAACCTATTTGATCAATAATGCTGGGGTCTGAATGTTGTTTTATCAGCTGACTTCAGTGAAATGTTACTGACAGTGGCCTCTTTCTCTATGGTTTGTTGGTTTTCCAGGGTGACCATGTGTACAAGTCAGTGTTCATCATTTTCTTCCAGGGAGACCAGCTGAAGAACCGGGTGAAAAAGATCTGTGAAGGGTACCACCGCTCTTCTGTTGCTACATAGATTGACATTTCACTAAATGACATAACTTTGTCAGATTCCATTTCCAGTTAATGTAGAGTGACAATATCTGTAAGCCTGTGTTCATATGTAAATGCATTTATGTATGTTTTACTTCCAGGTTTCGGGCTTCACTGTACCCCTGCCCTGAGACCCCCCAAGAGAGGAAGGAGATGGCAGCAGGAGTAAACACTCGTATTGACGATCTCCAAATGGTAAGTCAGACATGCGTGCACACACACATGTACATTTGCACACAAACACGTGTCAAATGAGCCTCTGGTGCTCATTCTGCTAGTGGTTGTACATTCAATGATTTCTTTAATATGTTTTCACTTAAAACCTTTTTTTTTAAACAAGCTTACACCATGCCCTACAGGGAGATTAAAAACAAATACAACAGAGTATAGATAAAAAAGGCAAATAAAGAGACAACAAAATTTAGTAAAATTTCTTAATTTCTGTATTTCTTTATAACACCAAGAGATCAATTAAAAATAATTTAAAAACATCTCCCTCAATCATGGTTTTCAAAAACTAACAAGTTACTACATTCTTATTGTACATTAGACCTGTATTATCCTGGTGCATGCATTGCAGTAGCCCTTGCGACTGTTTAAAAAAAGGGGTTCCATGCTGGGAGAGGCAAAAACCAAAAAAATCCATCCACATCTCCAAGGCAAGTGCAAGATAAATCCTAGAACAAAGAAAATCCTGGACACACCGTCTTAAGAAAAGTATAAAAAGCCTTTATTGAAACATGGCAATATGTATGAAAATGTGCCACACACTGTTCCAAAAAAAGTTGAGACAGTATGTGAAATGCAAATAAAAACAGAAAGCGATGATTTGTCCGGTTTAACCTGAGTGAAAACTGTACCAGGATGCAATATGTAATGTTCTGCCTCAGCAACTTTCTTTGTACATACATGCATTCTGAAATTACCTGCAACACAGTCCAACAAGTTCCTCTGAAATGGAGCTCATGGAGTGACGCACATTGGAGACGTGGTTTGACGAGTCAACCTTTCAGGTTCCTTATGGACATAATGGTTGTTATGTTCTCCAGGCCAAAGAAGAAAAGTACCATCCAGATTGTTACCAGTAAAAAGTTAAAATAAATTCTGTCATGGGTGTATTACTACCTGTGGCATGGATAACTAAGTCTCCATTAGTGTACAGTGTATTTGTAATCATTTCATCTCTTTGTGTGACTTTGTGAGTGAGCTCTTGACTCTGTCTGTGCGTGTACTCAGCTGTCTGCCTTGGTTTGTGAGTGTGGGAGAGTGATTCTCTGATCTGTTTACATTTGCCTTCCTCGAGTGCTAAAACAGATTCCCTTACATGGTCAAGAACTGCTAAATGACCGCTCCATCAGCACGGCTGCTGTCATATGATGGGCTGGGTCCAAATCATTTCAAATGGGTTATGCAAGAGTTTACCCCAAACAGTGCCTAGACCAATAATGTAGGCACACTAGACTGTTTACAGAGAGAAAATGCAGTGGAAATAAATCAATATCTCTGAAACAGGAAGCAATTGATTGCTAGCTCATCTGACTGTAGAGTTGCCGTGTGTGAATCAGTTGCCGTGTGTGAATCAGTTGCCGTGTGTGATCAAGTGCCCAGTGCCATGTTCAGACTTGTTTACAATAGACACGCAGATGCACACAGCTGAAATGAGCCATTTGTGCAAAGATTTCTATCTTCATTTGTGTTCTTTTTTCAGTTGTCTCGCTTGCCAGTGTAACAGCTAATGTTAGCGCCAGGCTGTGATGCCATCATGTCTCATCAGTGAGTCAGAGGTGGCTCCTGTTGGGACTGTTTATATTGGGGTAATAGTGTTTGGGATAATAGCCCATCTGTGAAACTTTGCCAAAGCCTTATTAGGAAAAGGAAAGGCTTAATGCCACTGGGTGTGGACCGTCAATTGCAGCCCACACACATAGTGACCATACCTGCAAAGACTCACCCTCCACTCTTCCACATACACACACGCATGTGGTGTCTCCCTCACACCTGCTCATATTCACACAGCAAAACTGCCCACACAGTCTCGATTGCTGGTCAACTTGCCAACTTCACATGAGGGATCATCTCACAGCTGCCTAATGCTCCTTACTCATCCTTCCACTCCTACCCAGGGGGTGTTGCAACATGAGTGTATGAGTGCATGAGTGCATAATATATGCTGTGTATTTAATGCAGTTTAATTTTATACCATGAAAATGTGGCACCATATAGACTGACCAATTTGAATGGTTTCCAGTAAGGGTGGAAAAGGACTCTCACTCATTATAAAACTCTACTTAATACATTAAATTTATGACATTTTGGCCTATGTGATCTTCATCAGATGAAAGTCAAAATACCAGGACATTCTGTCCACCTTTAGAGCCAACAGGCCTCAACAATATAACATCACGATACTTGAGCCATGATATGATTACTTTGTTACTTTTTTTATTTGTTTACTTATTAGGGACAGTTAATACACTAATACACTACAGTAATCAACAGCATTATATCATGTTGTACTTGTGCCTGATTTAGCCAGATTTAGCTCATTTTCATCTGCAGTTGCTGGGCAGGTTGATGTTAATATTAAAATAAATATGCTTCTCCCATAGAGCAACATTAAAAAGTGCTTAGATACAAAACACATTAAACCAAACCCTTTAAACATAAACACACATAAGACACACAATAAATAAACAACCTGTTTACAAAGATACAGAATATATAATTCATCGTTCTGCTGACAGATTTTAGTAGACAGTAACTATTTTTAAATTGGTTTAATTGCATTGTTTTTTTTCTTAGTGACTTTTTCTTTTTGCTATATATTGCGATTTGTTACTTTTGACTGCAAATTATTAACTCTAAAAAAACTTTCTTTGTCTCACTTCAGTCCTTTTGTCTTTAAGCAATACAGAATTGTGAAGGAGACAAATCACCATGAAAAACTTTGTCCTTACATTTACATATTTGGCAGATGCATTTATTTGTGACATAGGCAAACAATATTTAAAACAGTCTTTATCCTTAACATATTGCACAGATATTTTATTCAGGGCAATTTACAATGAAAGGTTAGTGTAATGTTAGTCATGCCTTACTGGAGTCAGAGAGAAATCTTGGATTAAGCCTGTGCAAAAGTTACAACACAGTTTATATTTTAGTTTATATTATATGTTTTATGTTTTCAGTATATTAAGTAAATATATACAAATGTAGCACTAAAATTAGTGGAAAATTTCATATGTGTTTGTTTTCCTGTAGGGGATGTAATTTGACCGGGAGTAACCAAACTTTTGCCTGCAACTGTATTATCAACTTCTCTAGCTGGTGCTAAAGGACGAGTCGTTTTTATATCAGAATTGCAATTTGGAAGTTTTGAGTGGGAAATTTACCTAATAACATAGAGCTTGTTTACCGCCTATAGATGAGTTAGGCCAATCAGAAGCAACTAAACACCCACATGATGTGTATATGACAACACAAATACAACTAACTGGCCATGTGGCACTCTTAGGCTATGTTCACACAGCAGGTAAAAGTGGCCCAAATCAGATTTTCTCATCAAATCCGATTTTTTGTTTGGCTGTTCACATGATCTTTTAAATGTGACCTGTATGAGACATCACTCTGAACAGATCACTCCAAAACTGACCTGCATGCGCAACAGAACAATGCTTCACGTTGCTTCACATGGCTCACCCAGAGGTAAACAATCACGACTGCCAGCGAACGCCAGTCGCTCACGGAGGATTCACCAGCATCACCTGAGTATCGGATTTCGGTGCCATCTGCAGTGTGAACATAGCCTTAGTTCGGCAGCCAGGAAAAAAGTAGATATGCTGGTCTTCTTGGCCAAAAAAAAAAGAGCCTGGACCTTAATCACACTTTAAATCGCAGTGGCAATATTGGTGTGAAAAATCGCAGTTAGTCTCCAACTTGTCTCCAACAAGAGTACGCAAAGAAATATAGGAAAAAGGCATAAGCTCATATAAAATTTAGATAGTGCTCTTGAGTAAGAAATGCTCTGAGTAATTTGATCTGGGAAAACACCAAAATATGCAGGGCAGGACTGGGGTTGGGAACCACTACTGAAGTAAATATAACTAGTAGTGAGTTATACACGCCAGGCTATTAACAGGCCTGTGTATTTCTGAGGTGGAGTATGAAGGGATACATGGCTTGGGAGAGACAGAGACAGATGGAGAGACAGATGAAGATGCCGCTGCTCTGGCAGGTCCAGGGTAAACTAGTAAAGCTGTGTAAATCTTCCTGCCACTCCCGCTGCTGTCTCTGAGGGGCTGAGGCAGCAGGGGTCTGTTGTGTATGGGTGGCAGACCAGACAGCTCTAAGTGTGATGAGTGTGTGGGCAGCCCTGGGCATTAAGACTGGCACCTGAGCTGTCTGGTATGTGCTGATCTGCTGGCATAGTGTGTCTCTTTCTGTCTCTCTCACTCACTCTCTCTCTCACTCTCTCTCACTCACTCTCTCTCTCTCTCTCTCTCTCTCTCTCTCTATCTCTCCCTCTCTCTCTCTTATTTACTCATACTCTCTCTTACTCTGTCTCTCTCTTACTCTGTCTCTCTCTTAGTCACTCATATTGTCTTTCTGTCTCATGTGCTTGTCCACTCATTCACTCAGTCACTCACATTGTTGCCCAGTCATTTAATGGATTTCTCTCTCTCTCTCTCTCTCTCTCTCTCTCTCTCTCTCTCTCTTTCTTTCTCTCTCTCTCTCTCTCTCTCCCTATGCTCACTTTCAACTTCCTGGCAGGGACTATACGGAGATTCTTCATTTCCCCTAAAATAGACTCTCGGTGCGCTGTGCTGTTTGTTCTGACTCAGCCCCCTGTTCCATAAGTAATCTCTGATGAGCAAACCAGGGAGTCTCATGAAGCCATACATGGACCCCAAACTCTGGAAAAGCTTGACTTGTTACATGAGATCAAGGGAAGCATGAAAAACATGCCTTGTTAAATAGAGCTTGTCTTCAGCTGTCTAACTGCTTGTTAACTCAAATTAGAGGGGGATTCTTTTTTGTAATAATAGTACTGATAATTGAGCTTGTATTCTGATGTAGGTCCATGAAACTTCCTCTAACCAGGAGTGCCAGAGTCCCCTTTCTCCCCTTTAACTCATTAAAATTTGCCCTCAGAGTAGTTGAGTTGTGTGAATGTCCACAGTGGCCCTAGCACAATAGATCAGCATGTGAAATTGGAGCTTCCTGTGTAGTATCATATTTTGTATCACTGTATAAAAGAAGCACATGCTGCCTTTATTGTTGGATGCATTGTTCAAAGTGGTAGTCTGTGACAATGAAATGAAAATCTGCAGATTTCTTTTAGGTTTATTCTTTACATATCTAACTAAATATGACGACCGCATTAAGGAATCACATTATTAATAGAGTAAAGTAAGTTAAAAGGCAAAATAGACACTTTTTGGCTTAGTATTAAAGGTTTAACATCACAAGATCCTTGATCTGGAATTACAAATACTGAACTTTCCTTCTGCCCACTTTCTTCCAGAGATGTTTCTAATTGTGCGCTGTGTATTCGCAGGTGCTGAATCAGACAGAGGATCACAGGCAGCGTGTGCTGCAGGCGGCTGCTAAAACGGTGCGTGTTTGGTTCATCAAAGTGAGGAAGATGAAGGCCATCTACCACACGCTCAATCTCTGCAACATCGATGTCACGCAGAAGTGTCTCATTGCTGAGATCTGGTGCCCTGTGTCTGATTTGGACTCCATTCAGTTTGCTTTGCGTAGAGGCACGGTAAGAAAATACACCGTGTACAGTACGGCGGTCAAATGATTAAAATAATGACTCATGATTGATCACATTATTTTATGTAGTTAATTTGTCTTTTTTGCCCAAATTTAACCCTAAAGAAAGATTTTGTTTGTAATAGCTATACGAGTGGACAAAAGAACAATTCATCAGAATGTATTCATTACATTCAGTATTTCGCTAACATTATTTACATAATATGAATGCAGTTTTCATATGAATTGAACATGAAGATCACATGAACGCAGGGGGAACACAAGACACTTTGCAGTTTTTGTCACTGGTGTCCAGTGGCTGCATTTTTAAGCTCCTCTGCAATTTTAGTTCTCACACACTCATCATTACATTCTGTCTTGTTTCAAAGGAAACTACTTTTTCTGTTGCCATTGTTAGTTTGCTGCTCGGTAGTTGTTTGTATGCCTTCTACAAGCTCTGTCCACCGAAGTCTGCTGAATTACAGATATTGCTGACATGAGTGGTGTGTTTTGCCAGTAAATCAGTCAGACTTTAGTGTGTTAACTTGTTAATAGCGAGTTAACTTTGACACCACTACTGTATACACATGCATACCAAAGCAGTGAGGCATGGGAGGCCATGTGTTACAACAGTGTTTCTCAAACGTGTCCTTAGGGCCCCCCATGATGGTCCACGTTTTTGCTTTATCCCTGTCTGTGTTGAGTTGGAGCAGAAATGTGGACTTTCTGGGGGGCCTGAGGACAAGTTTGAGAGCCACTTTGTTACAGTCATTTTTTACTACAGATAAGAGGTCTTGTTAGCTTTTATGAAATGTTAACCATGTAAATATTGCATTTATAAGTTATTAAATTATGTAATTTATATAAATTAATTAGTTATTTTAAAATGTTTAGGTTGTGTCCTACTCTCACTAGTAACACAAAAAAAAGTGTTAGTAGTGTTAACCTTAGGTTTAGGTTACTATTTAGGATTAGGCTTTGAGCAGAGCTCAGATGTGGGGTAAGATTAGAAATGCTTATTTATATGTATATCACTTCTTGGGCCACGCAAGTGTAGTGCTGTAAGTCTATGTGTGCATGCATGGCTGTGCTGGCCCTTTTCTTCACACCTGCATCGATGTATACTTACATGCCTGTGTGTGTGCCTGGATTATACTCATATCTCACACTTTACTGTTCGAGACAACAGTATACTAGTGATGCTAGCCACCTATGCATGGTCATAGCGTAAGGGTCAGAGCTCACTTGAATATTAACCGTACACTAAGCAGTGCTTAAGAGGATTACATGGTCACACACTCAGGCTGACTGTCCTGATCTCTGTCTCTCTGGTTTTCACACGCATGCACGCTCCTGCTCTTTAAAGCATGATACAGCGAGCACCACAAAGGCTGAGAATAAGGTGTTGCTAATTATGCAGCACTTGAAATCGCCACAGTGCATTCCTGTATTCATGGACTGAAACACTAGTGAAAACAGATCACACACGATTATCCTTTTTACTCATGAAATATAGCCTGATGAGCATTTCTTAATAAAAAAAGGACTAAATAAAACAATGAGGGGTTCAGAGAAGGGTGCTTGTAGAGTGGAAAAGCAAGCCAGCAGCTTAGAAGTGTCATGCAGGGTATTCACCCTTTAACCTTATTTAACAAGAGGCTATTTATAGCAGCAGGCTTACACACCCATTCATAGACCCACCCGCACAGGCTGAGCCAGATATTTCACTTCTTTGCAAATACATCATGTTTGGTTAATGAGCTAATATATTAGACTCAAAAGTTGTAGGCTGTGATGTATAAAAAGACAAATCACAGAAAGGTAGTGGGTAAAATATGCCACTGTCTTAAAAACGTTAGATATCCGCTTTTGAATCCCATGATGTAGTCTTGAAACAAAAGCCTGGAATATGGTATTATTATGGCAGGGCTTTAGATGAATTGAATGGACCTAGCAGTACAGAAAAATATTACCTAGTCTTTGGTCTCATACCCCAGTATTATCTACTGATAAAAGGTGTTTTAACCCTTAAAGGTCATAGTTATTGTAAAGATTGATCATTTATTAATAATATTATTTCTCACTTGTAGCTTATTGAAACAGAGTAATTCTGTTGAGCAGGTAGATTCTAAACTTTATACCAATACCACATTTGTGTTTGTAAGTAAAAGAGGAGATATTTTATTATGATTTGCATTTGATCAAGATTTATTGTTGTGCACACAGTGCGGTTCTGTAGAAAGAAAAAACATGCTTTGCATGATTGCTGTGAGCCTGTCATTTGTTTGCAATGAAATAAGTTGATAAAGAAGCTGTTGATACCTAATGTAAACTCAGTGTAAATGTAATTAATGATGTTTTTGCATAATCACTTTTAGTATAGCAAAATCTCATTGATAGCTTCTAAGGGTTAAGAACCAGAATCGTCTTGTTATGCTCTGAGGTTCTAATATTGTCAGTTCATTACCTCGTGGTTTTAAAGCCTTGCCTAGTGAAACTGTGACCCTGGCTCTTACGCAGATTCTTTATTTCTCTCCTCAGGAAAAAAGTGGCTCCACTGTTCCCTCCATTCTGAACAGGATGCAGACCAAACAGACCCCACCCACCTACAACAAGACCAACAAGTTCACCTCTGGCTTCCAAAACATTGTGGATGCCTATGGTATTGGCAACTACCGAGAGATGAACCCAGGTAACTCTGCCATCTTTCAGCCCCCGTCACAGCCACCCGACACATGGAAGTGGAATTCCATCACTCTAGAACAGAATGACCAGCTTGCCCCTCAATATGTATGTCAGCCAGTGAACTTGGATGTTTTGTACTGCTGGTTAGGCTAACTCAACAGTTAGTCATGTGGAGTGTTGTGGTTGTGTGTAGCTGAGTCATGTTTTACTCAGATGTCATCAGTGCTATTTGAACAGGATATGTTTTCTGGACATATGTTCATCAAGTAATGTTGCCATGGAACGCCGAATAGCTTCTGTGGCTTGAGTACAAAAAAAAAAGAAATTATGAAAAAACAGCTGTCTATTTTCTGCAAAGGTATTGAGATAACTAATATAATTGTGATCTGAATTCAGATACAAAGTACCACATGGGCATTACAGAGCCTTACCCTATAGCTTGCATTTTTTATGATGGTAATATAATTACCATATATTACCAACTGGGCTAGCTTCACAGTCCACACTTTTTTGTTTTAACTTTTATTATTGTAAGCCTTGATAACACGTGTTTGCCAAACACATCATGTGCGACATAATCTTGCACTTTGGTTTATATTACTTTTTATATAGCATTCTTTGCTAGACTGAAATAATCTACACTATAATCTTTCCAAGAGGCATTCAGAGTATGTATTTGTGTACATAAGTGCTGTCTTTTTACTGTACACATTTTAACTAACCATAGATAAGACTGACTTTACAAAGGGAATAGTTAAATAAAACAATAAAAAGTATGTGGCTTATAAAAGAAGAAGAATTTGTATAATATCTACACTTCTCGCAATTGTTGCCATATTCAATAACATCATGTATCACCCCAAGGATGCAGCCAACCCTCAAAATCATCACATAAAATAAAACTGCAGGATATATATATTTTTTCTTTATAGATGTGATGATGTGTACTCTATAAACAATTTATGACATGACATTCAGACTGCAGTAAAATCACAGAGATACTCTGGTGATTAACACACTTCCTGATGTAGAACTAATCCTGTCCAGATAGTGTTATGGTCTTATATGTTCTGCAAACCTTATTGTGGCTCATTGTGTTGGTTCATGTTCAGCTCCCTACACCATCATCACATTCCCCTTCCTGTTTGCCGTCATGTTTGGGGATCTGGGCCATGGCATTCTCATGACCTGCGCTGCCCTTTACCTGGTGCTGAGAGAGACCCGTCTTATTGCCCAGAAAAATGAAAACGAGGTATCATCCATCCATCTATCCATCCATCCATACATGAATTCAGCTTTCCATTATACTACTCCTTTCATATTTGTTCAACACATGTTTTGATGTACTTTTTGTGTCATTGAGTGATAGACTTCACTTCCTTCCATCAGATTTGTTGGAGGTCTAAAATAAGCCTTGAATTGAAGAAAGCACTTCCTTTGGTCAACCTAATGTGCAGTGGTTTTCTTGCTTCAGACTTGTTTTGTTTTTAAACTGTCTCTCTAACTGTGAGATTTTCGACGGTTGTTAGAAAAAGCAGAAGTTGTGTGCATATCAACACTGTGTGTTTCTTTTCTTTTTTTAACAAATGTGGAGAATTCAAAGTATATTCTTTGTCTCTCTTGCTCTCTTTCCTTTCCTCTCAGATGTTTAGCATGGTGTTTTCAGGCCGCTATATTATCCTGCTGATGGGGATCTTTTCCATCTACACTGGGATAATCTATAATGACTGCTTCTCTAAGTCGCTCAATGTCTTCGGCTCCGGCTGGAGTGTGCGTCCAATGTTCACAGCGAGTGAAGCCAACTGGACGTGAGTTCCCTCATCTCAGACTGTTAAAAGTCCTTTGCTTCTGAATTTAGTCAAGGAACAGTTTAACTGATTCTGAATCGTTAAGATTTGTCCAGGTCTAATTGTTTTGATATAGTCTGATATCACTCATGTAGGACTTGAATCTCCCTGGTTGAGGTTTCTATTTCAGTGTCAAGAGTATTTTACAAGTAGAATAATGATAAAGCAGTTCTTTAAAAAATAAATAACTAATGTGCATGTAGGCCATGTAGGGACAGGCATGTACAAGCACAGCATGCCTGAAGTCATTATTGTTAAAGGTTATTAAAATAATGTTGGTATATTATCTTAGTAGTCAAGCAATCTATCAGTCTATCAATCTATAATCTATCAATTATTTTGATGATTATTCAAGTAATTGAAGTATCAAAAAAGGCCAAACAATTCAAAATGACTTAACTGAAGAAAAACAAACCATGCATAGCCCAAATATATTTGTTGGAAAAAGATAAACAAAGAAATCTTTTAAAAAGTCATAGCTGTGTCAATCATGCTCTGTTTCTCATTGTAATAGAAACCAGTACTAGAATTAAACATAGATATTTATCATGCAAATGGGAAAATTGATCATTGCCTGTTTGTCACGAAAGTATATTTGAATCGATTAATTTCCTTATCAAAGGATGCATGCTAATCTTAATGGGATTATTTAGGTGTTGTGTAGTTCATGGCTAAGGGATTGGTTGTTCTCTCTCTTTAGTTTTGAGACCCTGGAAGGAAACAGGATGCTACAGTTGGACCCCGCTGTCCAGGGAGTTTTTGGGGGGCCCTACCCCATCGGCATTGACCCTGTAAGAACTAGCTCATTTTTCTGTTGCGTTGGCATACAGTTCTCTTTTAGCTGGACCAATGATCCTTTTGACTCTTTTTAAAAAACTGTTCATCTTCATAATTTCACAGATCTGGAACTTGGCTTCAAACAAGTTGACCTTCCTGAACTCCTTTAAGATGAAGATGTCTGTAATCTTAGGAGTTATTCACATGCTGTTTGGAGTCACTCTGAGCCTCTTCAACCACATGTAAGTTCACATTCTTTTTACTCCACACTCTTTTAAGGTGACTTAAACTAAAAGTACCTCCAACCAAGTTCACTGTACTTTCTTTGATAGTACAGGATTACCCACTATAGCACTGAAGCTTTTTAAAATTACATAAAATAACTGTATTCCAGAATAACTTTTAAAGAAGCTAATTTGGCCTGCTTGAATAGTTTGAGATTGTATGCATGTGTGTGTGTGTGTGTGTGTGTGTGTGTGTGTGTGTGTGTGTGTGTGTGTGTGTGTGTGTGTGTGTGTGCAGCTATTTTAAGAAGCCTCTGAACATCTGGCTGGGCTTCATCCCCGAGATCGTCTTCATGAGCAGCCTGTTTGGCTACCTGGTGATACTCATCTTCTACAAGTGGACCGCCTACAATGCCAAAATTTCCAAAGATGCTCCCAGCCTCCTCATAGCATTTATCAACATGTTCCTCTTCAACTACAATGACCCTACCAATAAGCCACTATACAGAGGACAGGTGCACTACATGTTTGTTATCATGCCTTGCTAGGACATATATCCCATTTGTATTAATGGGATAAATGGTTTTGCCCTTTTACTTTTTAAAGAAGTAATAAAACCTGTAGCTTTTGTAAATGTACACAGGACAAGGACAGTAAGACTGAAGGAAGGATGTATCATGCTTTTTGAGTTTGCATTTCCATTGCTCTGCTCTCGTTGTCTGCAGATGGCAATACAGTGCCTGCTGGTGGTCATTGCTCTTGCCTGTGTGCCATGCATGCTCATAGTAAAGACGCTGGTTCTACGTCAACAATACCTCTGGAGGAAGCACCTCGTAAGGATTTAATTAAACGCTTGTTTTTGTACAATGTTTGGACTTGAATTACAGTATATTTTATACTTTTCATGTAGAATACATATGTATTATATATATATAATGTATGTATTTGTCTTGAAAATGTACAAAAAAAGACACACACAGCAATAGTTTGTAGCCTGTATCCTTCTCTGTTTCCAGGGCACGCAAAACTTTGGGGGGATTCGGGTGGGGAATGGTCCGACGGAGGATGAAGCTGAGATCATTCAGCATGATCAGCTTTCACAGCACTCCGAAGAAGAGCCAGAGGTGAGAATGATGCTCTGTATTGCTGTGTGTGTTTTTTGTTAATTCCAGTTGCCTAATTATAATAGAAGAAGAATCTACCAAGTCTACCTGTTGCCTTGGGAAATTCCTGAGTTATTTATATCCTGAATACTTTATCTCATATGCATATATCCACAACAGTCATGACACTGATGAGTAGAATTGTCATATAAGTTATTGTTTTATGTGAAATACCTTTTTTAAATAATGATAAAAATAGATTTTTCTTTTTTGTTCCAATTTAATGATTTTTCCAAATTGCTTATCATCTCAGCTCTACATAAATGCAGTAACACACAAACACATATAGAGGATACTGTGCTTTAGCTTTGATTGTGCCTTATATTAAAGCCTACTTACCAGTGCATCACTACAAAGCTTGGGTTTATGGGTTTGTATGGAATTTAAGAGAATGTGTGACGACATCTACACATTTGATGTGTGTGGGGTTTAAGAGTATGTGTGATGAACACTACTTGGTGCCAATTGTTGTAAGTTGCAGCAGTTTATTCATTGCCAATCTTTACCTGCTATACTTGTTTTAGTAACTGCAGCTTTTTCCTAATAATTAACGCTGTGCTGTCTTTTTATGTAAATAAGTGATGAGTTGTCAGGATGACTTGATTTAACTTAGTTACTCTATTAAGAAATAATGAATTAAAAAGTACCCTCACAGTCAGCAATCAGTAGTTGTCAGTTTGCATGATGATGCATATATTTTAAATTCTCTTACAGTAAGAGACAGACTGACACACTCATGTATATACATTTTTGTCATAAAATGTTTTTAGGATAGGTTTCCATAGTCTTTTTAAAGGCTTCCATGCTTCCTTTTCCAATAATGCATTACTCTAATTGATCAGTACAAATGAAACAACTGAATATTTAGTTCAGAGTAAGCAAATGATACCATAAATTATGATTTTCATTAATGCTAAAACCCTGGATTCTCTAACGCAATCAACATATTGGGTGATGTCCCTGTAGTCAGCAGAGTGGTAGCTGGTTCCAGTCAGTGAGTCACCAAAAGAGTGTCCTGCATACCAGCACTGCCCTAAAGTGGGTCAGCCCCTTCTTTAACACCCACCACTGCTCTGCCACTCCTGTATCCCATAGCAACCAGCTTCACCAACAAAACAAACAGATCTCTTTACATTTTTTTTAAGGTTTCCAATTTGTAAACATATATATTACACTGTTAGTTATTTAGGCACTAAAAACTCAAAAACTGTTTTGTTTATTTATTTATTAATCTAAATATGTTAATTTTTTATATTGTGGATGCAAAACCTAAAATCAGTCCATTAAAATATCACTTATAAAACAAAATATTCCAGTTGTGAAATCCTGATTTGCAGAGCCATGTTTGAATCAATTGTAAAATACTGATATGATAAAAGCACACTTATAAGCACACACATCAACCAAATTCTGTATTAATGCACCAGAATATTAAACTGTGCTGCTTGTCTGGACTGGGAAACATAGTTCTGATAGTTAGAGAGGTCTGAAACCATATTTAATGTAGTGTACATAAGATCTCAGTTTTGTTTAAACCAAGAGACTGACAATTATAAAATGTTCATGATTTATATGACCATGTGACCGAGAGATAAAATGATGAGAAACTGAGTGGAATATACAATAATGGGCTACTGAACATTCTATGTTCAAATCTTTGAGTTAGATTTCCCACATATTACTAGCTCAAGTTAAAAGCAACATCATAAATGCCATGACAGGGTCTAGCTTTGGCTCAGTAAACATCAGTAGCCCTCGAACCCTATTACCGTCCACCACGTCCTGTTTGCTCACTATATATGATTTCCTCGCAACGCAGTGCTTCTCAGTTTCTCTCAGAGAACATGGATGAAATGGTTGTCTCTCTTATCACTTACAGATGTTTGCTTTTGATATAATAGAGATCGTAGTTTGTGGCCTCCACCATATTTAACTGCATGGTTCATTTTTAGTAGGCCTCTCTAGCAGAACCAATTGCCTATTGTGCCCTCCTGCATACAGTATAAAAATGTTCCTCAACTTTAAGGATAAACTCACCAAATAGGAACTGCTGTTTATTGGAAAAGAAATAAAGATTAACCTTTTTTAACAGCATTGGTCAGACTACTGTTTATTTGCTTGTTATGCGATCTTCCTAAGTACTTTCTTTCATTTACTCTATGTTTTTAAATTTCTTCTTATTGCACTTTCTCTGGAGCTAAAACTGTTGTCTCTCACATCTCTCTCTCTTTGTCACTTTCTGAGCGCTGTAACTAACTCTACTTTAACCCTGTGTGTGTGTCCTGTTACCTTTCAAGCAGTCCGAAGAGGAAGCGGTAAGAGCAGAAAGCCTTTTCGCCTGTCTGATTGACTAAGTTTTGAGTTGTGTCACAATGTGTGCACCATCTAATCTGTCTCGGACCCATCTCTGTCTGCGTGTGGTTGAGTGTGTGGGTGTGTTTTGGTGGGTTGTGCTTTTTTGCTGGTGGCTGTGTGTAATTGGTGTTGGCTGGTGCTTCTCTAGCAAGCTTTTAAGACTGAAATCACTGCTAAATCTTCCCAGGTGCCTGTATTTCATTTGTGCTGAAAGGAAATATAAATAATGTGCCATCCGAGAGGAAGTAAATATTCTAAGTGGTATCTTCTTCTAATCTCATTTACTTCTCCTAGACATTGTTAAGTCCTGTTTGAAGTCAGTGTGACTTTTTGTTTATTTCTAATTTCGGCTTCTGAGAAAAAGGCCTTGGATTTTCTCACTTTGAACAGAATATTGTCTCACAGATGGCTTATCTATTTAATTGAATACTATTTACATAGATCTCATAATTTGATTTTATATTTCTCTTCAAAATCTCAGAAATCTTTCAGCAATCTATCGGTGTGAAAGGAGAATTTTTGCTTTCCTCATTTATCTCCAGAACTTCTTGAAGTTAAACGCTCATGTTAATCTCTGTTTTTTCTCTTAGGGGGTTTAGGAGAAAGCATTCAGAAATCTCTGATCCTTCGTAAATACAATATTGACATCTGATTGATTTCTTCTGAGATGAGCTAAAGTTGATCTTAAGAAAGACCCTTTACCTTTGGGATATTAAGTGCCAAATTCTAACAATGAATACTGCTCTGCCCCCTGGTTTAGATGCCATACCTGGGGTTAATTGATGTCTTGTGGTGGTCTGATCATGTGATTGTGTTAGTCGTCGGCCTCCGTGTCTCTGATCAGGATATGATTGAAGGTAGCATGAAATATAAAGATTAAAAATACTGTCTAATGTTATATGCTTCTTTGTTTTTTTTTCTTTTCCTCTGTCTCTTTTTTCTTTCATTCTTTCTTTTTTATTTATTATTTATTTTTCTTTCTTTCTTATTTTTTTTTCTTTCTTTCCCCAATTCCCTTGGTCTCTTTTTTTTTTCTTTCTCTCTGTCTCTCCACCTCTTTCTCTGTGTAGTTTAATTTTGCAGATGTAGCTGTACATCAGGCCATCCACACAATAGAGTACTGCTTAGGCTGTATCTCAAACACTGCCTCCTACCTACGGTTGTGGGCCCTAAGTTTAGCTCATGCACGTGAGTAACACACCCACACAAACTTTGGTAACACTTTATTTGAAGTGATCCTTTGTAGATGAATAATAAACTAACAGATTATCAGTAACACATTAACAGCATATCAGTGAAGTAGCAGTACAGTGCATTGAAGTAAATATCTTGTAGATGTTCTGTTGATACACTACATACATTAATTAGATGTATTGTTAACATGTTACTTTCATTATGCAAAACCTAACCTTACTCTAACCCTAACCCTGGCCCTAATCCTGGCCGTAATCCTAACCCTAACCTTAACCTCAACCCAAAACCTTACGGTCACCCTGGCCCTAATCCTAAACCTAACCTTAACCTCAACCCATAACCTTACCCTCACCCTGGCCCTAATCCTAAACCTAACCTCAACCCAAAGCCTAATCCTAACCCTCATATGTTGTTGACGTTACCGAGTGTCCCCTGTGTGTATGTTTCATCTAAAAGGACCACACAAAATAAAGTGTCACCCAAACTTTCACAGTAATTGTATTTGTTAATGCACAAATGGATTAATTAAAAACATGCTAAGAAAACTGAGAGTGTAAAACAGCACAAAAATGTGTCCTTCTGTCTTCTTTTTTGCAGAGTTATCGGAGGTCTTGTGGTCAATGGTCATGAAAATCGGTTTCTCCCCTAACGTTGGTTTCTCCTTTGTCATATTCATCGTGTTTGCCTTCTTTGCCACACTGACAGTGTGCATCCTCCTGATAATGGAGGGCCTCTCTGCCTTTCTACATGCCCTCAGACTGCACTGGTGAGTCCACACCCATGTCTATATCTGTACTCTTCAGACTACAAACATCATCTCCACCTTGAAAATTGTGTAAAAAATATAAATGTGTAAAAAACCTAGATGTTTGCTGTTTTTGATGATATATGCTCATATTTTTATCTGTTTTGATATAAAACAGAGTACTGAAAAGTGCGACTCTCCTTCTCCCCCTGTGGGTGAAACCAGGCATAGGCTTGAAGCATTTTAGGACTCTGGCTTACTAGCAATTTTTAGACTACTTAGGAAATACTTTGTCACTCTGTTTGGTAATATGGCATCTAATCTCTCTCTCTCCTCTTTCTCTCTCTGTAGGGTTGAGTTTCAGAATAAATTCTACTCCGGTCAGGGCTTCAAATTCATGCCGTTTACCTTCAACAGCATTCTGGAGGGAAAGTTTGAGGACTGAACTGCCATCACTGAAGACCTCCCACCAGTACACCCCAAACCCGCTAAGACCCAATCAGAATAGTAGAAATTTCTGTGAAAGGTTTGAAAGGTTTTTCAACAGTTCCCTTTGTAATTTTAGTGACAGCTGTAACAGATATATTGGGAAATCTACTTTATTTATTCTGTTTCTAAGGGTGCATTTGATTATTTCCCATTCCAGGTCTTGGGTGAATGGAGAAGTGCATCGTTTTTGGATTATAGATGTGATAGTTTTTCCTCAAAGCAGGAATGAAAATATTCAGTAATATTCTGTCTCAATGGCTGTAAATCGTTCCGTATCACTTACATACAGTTCTCATGATTAAAAAAGCCAATGATTTAGACACATGAAATGTCTTGTCACCATACTACTACATAAATAAGCTAATTTGCTTGTTCACACAACATTTAAGCATAAGGCATAAAGGGGTTGTGATGTATTTCTGACTCCTTTTGTCATTTTTCCACCAGAGCGTTTCTCTTCAGTTTTTTTTTCCTTGCCTGATAAGTCACTGATATGTTTTTGTTTACTTCCTTCCTTCTTTTTGAGCATTCTTGCACAGTCTTGATTGCCCCTTTTCTTCAGATCACTCAAAGGGACTGCTTTTAAAATTCCTCAAAGGGAATCAATTTAATATTCCCCATTTTTCCTCACTGAAAGCAGTTTTTGACATCCATAAAATGTCACTATGTAATGCTTCTGATACATATCTTAGTACAGTAATATATCAAAAAGCTATATCTGTGTGATATTGGAAAATATGATATGATTAGACATGAAGTAGCTCCAAACCAACCTCACTGCAACTTAATATTAGCTCATCAGCCCATGGGTTCATATTTGCAGTATCATTGATCGTTATTAGTGTTGTGTGTTTTGGCTTTTCCTTGTTGTAGTCTTGTGATTGTGCAGTTATTTGGGGGCAGACAGAGTAAACACTGAAAATCACCTTTTGGTCATACATCAAACTAGTGTTAATCTACAGTTAAATGTTGTAATTAATCTTCATTTTGTTGTTGCTGTCTCTCTTTTATATGTGCTTTTCTTTGTTTGACCTACTCAATGTATTATTGGCTGTTGGAGACAGAGCTGAGGAGCAGTGAGGACTTTGCAATGTCTAGGTTTACCCAGTAACATGCAGTAAGTAAAGGGATTATAACTGGATGTTGTGTGTCTGTTTGTCAGTAAAGTACTTGGCTGGGAAATAAGCCTAGTCTTTTTGTGTCATTTTTGAAGTGTATACTTTGAGCCACACAGTAGGATTGATTAAGGAAGTTTGCATTTGCAGGTCTACATTTAAGACATCAAGGTGTATTGAGAATGTAAAATGTAATAATTCTTTGGGTCATCATGGAGAATCGAGTGCTGATGGGTCTTTCTTTACAGAATCTTACACATTCTCTTTCAAGAATATGACTCAAATTGGCAATAGAATTATCCTTAGGTTAACTACTATGACATTATATAATTTATAGTTAATAGGGATGTAACAATACAATGTATTTTATTATACCAAATTGTGTCACAGAAAACCGCCTCAAATTTGTGATTCATTGGTGGTCACACAGCAACGCAGATAACAACCTCGTCTAGCTAGTACCTAACGAACTAGCAAAGAGAAAGATTTAAGATGAACATCAATAATTTGGAGACAAACTGACTTATTTGCATCTGTAAGCACTCAGCTGGTTTCCTGACACGTTTAATCTGTAACGAGAAACTGCCAAACACTAAGTCGTGAAGTCGTTCGTTGGCTTCATTCGCCAGCAGAAAAGCGACTACAGCTGAGCTAAAGGTTAAAGCAGAGCAATGGAAGTCTGCAATTTCGTTAATGTTATATTTTTAGCCTCTACTATCACATTAGCACATACTGAGACATACTTACAGCCAAGATGGTAAAACGGACATAAAATGTTGTGGCTCCCAAGGTGGTTTCATTTTTGTTGAAAGGACAAAATACCTCTTCTTAACATGTGGGTTGCGGGCCCCTGACCTAAGCCTACAAGTAAGGGGTGATCAGCGTGTGACCATTTGCTCGAACTGTCCACGGCTCAGTCTGGATCGCCTCCAGCCCAGTTAACGACTGTGTTCTATGCTTCCCATTTTGCATCGATTGCCTGAAGCCTGTAGCAAAATTGTGGCGAAAATGATCGCTGTAGCTACACAAAAATTTGTAGGCGCTACAGCTATTAGCTACATTTCATAAAACTGTAGCGGCTACAGCTGTTAGCTACAAAAATTTGTAGTTAGCTACAAAAAGTAGCGCGCTACTTAACTACTACCCCATCCCTGATTACACCCCCATTAGTTATGTATTTATATTTATCATTTATTATGACATTTATTTGTTTTTAATAATTATATGTAAGTCCTTCCATTTTTTTCAGGAGACTTTCCGTTTTTCATAGAAATCTACAGGGATGTTTTTCCACACCTCCAAAGTTCAGTCTTAGAAGGTTGCATTTTTTTCTGCTCCTCATGATCCAAGTAATCACAAACACTCAGTGATGTTGAGGTCTGGACTCTGGGGTGGTCAGTCTGAAAACACAATAGGCTTCTTCTTTTCTGAATGTTTTCCTCAGTGAGGGAAAAGACTCATAGCATTGAGTTTTCTTCTCACAGTAGAATTATGGACAGAAAAACCTGTGGATATTTTCAGATCTGAAGCCAAAGTGGAGCTTGATTTTCTCCTCTCTCTCAAAGATGAAAGCTTTAAGTACTGTTTATCTGATGGGGACAGTTTTGGTGGTCTACCAGGTCTTGCACAGCTGTTAGGAGTCCCATTTCCAGTTTTGGAAACTCTTCTTATTTTTCTTTGATTTTCCACTTCTTTATCCTCAGTGATATTTTCTGAAAAATGAATTTCAATGGCTGTTTCTACTAGAAACTAAATAAACAAAGGTCTCTGACATTTGCGTTTATATAGTTGCATATCTCATTAGCCTCTGTATAGCAGAGTTTAAATCTGTGTGATTCAGTACTTTGGAATTGGCTCAGCCTGCCAAAAAGCTTGTGTATGTTAGAGGTGGCGTGTATTGGTGTTTGTAGCTGTGTATTAAGTGTGTGAGTATGTCTGTTTGTGTAAATGTGCGTGTCTTTGATCATCTTTGCCAGGCTCATATTGGGAGGAGTCTAGCCTGCAATGGTCAGTGTGGGCGTGACTTTTACAGTAAATGAGTGGTGTAGGAGGAGGGCTGTGGGAGGGAAGGCGAGCGTTTGACAGGAGGGCTTCACACACTCACACATGCACACATACACACGCGCCTTGGTGGTGAGAGAGACTGACTAGCGTCCCGGGACAGATTCGCCTGAAGGGGGAACATACGGGTTAGACAGTGAGAGAGAGAGAAGACTGAGGGGTCATTCGAAAGCTAGTAAATTGTATGTTAATGTACAGAACAGGTAGATAGACTAAAGTGAGGTGGGAAAAGACAGGTGGAGTCAAAGGAGGGGAAAAGTGCAAGTTGGATTCGCTCTGCTCTTCGCTCTTTGGTGTCTCTTGTCATTCAGGTCTTTTTTTAGTGCTTTATTTTTACCCCAGGACTGCCTTCCCACACGCCAGCCCGTGTGTATGTGTGAGCTTTAGACCTCTATCTGTAAGCCCACTGGAGAGTGTGTGTGTAAGTTTGTCTACGTGGACACCTTACACTTGAACCCCAGCCATGGCTGACACAAACCTCAAGTTGGATCGCATAGCCCTCACCGAAATCTCCGACGATGACGAAGAGGTGGCCTTGGTGACGGCGGTCGCCAAAACCTCAGTGACCACCCCAGCCGCTAACCGCAAAAACACGGCCGATGATGATGACCACGATGACCCTTCCAAAGAAGCGGACCTGGTGCTGGGGCCGGGACTGGACGGCAGCGGAAGCAGTGAGGCGCAGAGGTCCGAGGCCCAGGCCACGGGCATGATGGTCCTGGCTCTTCTGGACAAGATCATTGGCGTGGTGGACCAGATCCAGCAGACCCAGAACAGCCTGGAGAGCCGGCAGGAGAACATGGAGAAGAGCGTGACGGGCATCCAGAGTGAGCTGACCAAGCTGGCCAAGAGCCATGTCAGCACGGCCAGCACGGTCAACAAGCTTCTGGACAAAGTGCGCAAGGTGAACGTCAACGTGAAGAGTGCGCGCACAGACCTCGAGAAGCAGGTGGGCCAGATCAAGAAGCTGGAGAGCAATGAGCACGAGCTGCTCAAGAGGAAGAACTTCAAAGTGCTCATTTTCCAGGTAGGGACTGAGACTGAGATTGGTGCGCTCTGAATACGGTCATTAAAAGCACACTTTTTGGTACAAGTTTGGTCCAGTTTCTGAGGCCTGGATTAAGCCTGGTCTTGGACTAAATTGTGAGTCACCAATTAAAACTAAGTCTGGGAAACTGACCTTTTTAATATTGTATTAAATATAAGAGAGAAAAAAAGAAAAAAAAAAAAAACTACACGCTGACCAGCAGTTGGTTAGTCTTGTGAAAAGTAACATAGAATGAGTTGTTCTTATATGGACACGCATTTTATCCTATGTTTTTTCATATATTTTATTTTTTCCTTTGAGGTTCACTTTTGGTACATTTGTGTGATTTTATGGTCATAATTCCTTTTTACACAACAATTTTTAAAGACTGATATTAATGTTATCTGTTCTGATTGGCTGTCCTGTATTGTGCCTTATTCAAAAAGCACTCAGAGCTGAAACACTCCTTAGAACTTCAGCGTAAATGGGGGGGGCTAAACTGCTGTATCTGAATAGGTGGATAGATGAAAATGAATTGGTGCTACTGACATCACAGAGACAATTAATTCAAAACAGCCTGTTTTTGCAGCATAGTGTCCAAATATGGACTGATAGTGAACGGTATGTTTTGGAATTTTAACAGTGTTTTAATATTATTTAAAATCCCTAAAAAACTAGTGAAGTACTTTAGTAAAGAAAATAGTTCTGTATAGAACCATGAACACTCAAAGAACCCTTTGCGTGATTGAAGGGTTTTTGCATTGTGAAAGGGTTCTTCAGATTAATGTAGAATGTGCTGTAGATGGCTCTATTTAGAACTTTTTTGAAAAGGGTTCTACATAGCACCAAAAAGTGTTCTGCTATTGTTACAATGTTAAGCTTGTAACCATAGAAGAACCCTTTTTGGTGCTATATAGAACCATATACAGCACATTCTCCTTCAATATGAAGAACGCTTTCACGATGCAAAGAAGCATTTAATCATGCAAAAGGTTCTTTGAGTGTTCATGGTTCTATATATCTTTATTTTAAGAACCCTTGAAGAACCATCTCTTTTAAGTGTGTAGGGAAATTTAGTTTCCCATAAAATAAGCCCTTTAAAACAATAATACTCTCTCGGTTTTGCATGCAAGGATTATGTCTAGTTTGTCTGTCTGCTTGGTAGCTGTCTAACAAAGCTGAAGCTTAGATTTTATCCCATATACTATGCCTTCAAAAAGTGTAGGCCGTGGAGTGTATATGTAAGTGATACACTTACTGACTGATGTGTTCTGGATTATATAGGCCCTATGGGCAAAAGGGAAAACATATTTTTAGTCACCTAGAGAGAACCTTAACCTGTATGCAAAACCCTTAGTTCAGTTAGTATGGTTAACTTGCAACTGCAGTCAGTAGTATATGACTTAATATATGTGAGTGATGGCATATGTGTGATATTTCCACACGCCTTTTAAAGCACACAGGGATTCCTGTTAGGGGCTTGGCCTTGCATTCCACATTCGGCATCAGAAAGTCTCAGTACCCTGCCAGATGAGACATCCAAAGGTTCATGTTGATCTTCACCACAAGCTTTGATCAGTACAGGCTTGGGGTTCCCCAATATACTGGATAGAGTCTACATTGTGCACATACAGAATGTGTTTGTTAGGGTATGTTAGCTTGCAAAAAAGCTCCTTGTGTGCAATTCCTCATGAAAAACCTTACAGTTCATGTTTGGAATTTATTTCGTTGCAGTTCTGGAAAACTGCTCGTACTGACATTGATTTATTTTCCAAATGTTCCAAACATTTTTTTCCCCCAATTATGAAGTCACCTCAGCCTTTAAAAAAGGGATTTTGTTCTGGAGTTCTGGAGTTCTGGATGCAACCATGCTGTACGTGAAGCCTCCCTAATGCTTCTGAAGGGTTCTTTGCAGACCGGCGTAGCAATGATATTAGAAAACTGCTAAAAGATAAGTAATTATATATAATAGAACATTGTATGAGGTGACAAATCTTAAAATGGTTTATTTTTAGGAGTGCATCTTCATGGTATTGCAAGCATGATAGTGGACCTTAATAGTATTAATAATAAATCTTTTTCTATGCAGATTCTGGTCCTAATGCAGTTTTAATATTAAAAACCTTGGTATGTAAATTTCAGACATGTTGTCTACTGACATAAATGTACATAAAATGCAGTGGACATAGTGATATAGAGGAGTTCTGTCTCTCTCATATGCAGTGAAATCATTCACTGTCTCACTATCTGTCTTTTCCACACACACACACACACACACACACACTCACTCAAGTGCACCCACCTGTGCTAAAGCTGGAGTGTGCGAGCTTGCTGTGGCAGATAGTTGGCTTGTGTTGGATGGTGTAGGATGAAGACATTTCTATTTTATATCCAGTCATGCTTCCCTGCATTATATCTGCCTCGTATCTGTTCGGAAAGTCGTAATCCTGCAGCTGTGTGAATTTAGATTTGCTGAATATAGCACATTAGTCTCCCCATAAACACAGCCCACAACATGTGCATGCATGCATGTTTACGGCCATGAGCGAAAGGTTAAACACCCCTGATCAAATTACATGTTTTGTTGTTTTTTTGAAAATAACTTGGCACATCTTCTACAGCAGGGGTGGAGAACTGGACAAATTCCTGAATAGTTTGATGATTTTCTTGCTCAAACCCAGTTGATTCAACTCATCAGGTAAAATACCAAACAGTGCTGGACCCTGACCCTCAGTTCCCCATCCCAGCTCTACAGGAAACAAACATAAATATGGTATTGTTCTGCAAATTTTAGTGCACAGTTTTTATTTACTTGATTGAGGTTTTGGGAGAAAAACATCAAATGTGTCGTAACTTTTGCACAAGTCACATTTTTTGTTTTATTTCCCCTGTAAGTAAACAGTAATTGTGCATAAAAATGTGCAGAAGTGTTTTCTGCTTAGAGAATTTGTTATTTTCACTTAGAAAATCAAGAAAATGTCATTTGACCAGAGGTGCCAAACCTTTGCATACAGCATTATATTTTTTTTACTTACACTTTTTAACTTCATCTGCAACAACAGGGGTGCCTAAACTTTTGCATTCAACTAAGTATTCATGTAAGACTTTACTGCTTTTGTAGTCTTTATCTTTCTATTCCAGTTTTAGCACAGTTGCAACGATCAGGGCAACTGTTCAGCTGGGCTTTCAGTTTTATTCATTGTTTCCAGGATGTGTACATGTGCTATGAAATTGTACATACTGTATAATGAGTAGCTAACTTGAGTGTTAAATTAAACATCCAGCAAAGCTTGAATGAATAATATAAGGTTAAAACATTATTAAATATGGTTTAAAAACCACTGATCAGGCCTATCTAAGAACTATGTGGGTGTGGCTAATGAGCAGCTTGATTGACAGCTCTCTGTCCAAAACTCTGCTCAATCACTCATTCAGAAAAAATCATTATCCAGCTTTTATGTGACAGTAACTGGAAGTCACAGGTGAACAGATGTAAAAGACAGATGAAAAAACGAAAGAACGAAGCAACATGGGAAGCAAAACGTGAAGCAGACAACAGACAAACAAACAACATATATGGATAAACGAATGAATGGGCGACAGCCATCTACAGACAGGTGGTCTAGCTCACTAGCTATTGGTAATGCTGAGTTAGCTTTATCTCGCAAAGTTTCTCTGACCGTGTGGGCGGGGCAAGATACGTCAGCGCTACCCAAAATTAGGACCGCCCAGTTTACATCAAGATGAGAGAAATATGGTGAAAAGTATCAGTCATTTATTGCTCACTGGAACATTTTTCCAAGGGTAAACTTAGTACATGTTTACTAACCTAATTAGAAAGCAAACACAGATATAGGTTCCCTGGATCTTTAAATAATTGTGGTCAAACGTAGCAATCCTAGTACCAAAGCAGACGACACATGAGCAGATATTAAAAGAATATTCCAGCATTTTTGTACTCTAATCTCTAGTTGAATATCACAGACAATAACTTTTAAACTGGCTTCTTTTATATTGTTTTGAGTGAACAGGTGCAGACGAGTGTACTGTGACTTTATTATGCTTCATTATGAGAGCAAAATGTGATGGGCAGATCTCCCCCCTGCAGAAAGACCCCTACTCTACAGCAGAGTATATCAGTGTTGAGCTTCTATACAGTTGCATAGTGTTTTGTGAGCATGTTGGACGTCCGTTGCCTGAAGCAAAGAGTTTTGCTTGCAGGTTGGAGTGCAACAGATGAGTGTAAAGTGGTTTCGGGGGTGTAGGGTGGCGGGCAAAATGACAGAGAGCCACCCAGAGACACCCCCCCTCCCCTTTCTCCACTTATGGACAGTCCAATTATAGCTCAGAATGCGGTAATGTCTGCAATGCAGTTTAACGATTCTACTGAGAGAGGGCGAGAGACTGTTCCCTGAAAGGAGCAGAGGACCTTTCACAGTTCTCCTGAGGACGTCATTATGATCTTTCTTTCTTTTCATTTTTACGCAACTATTTTCAACCTCTCTATATCCCTCAGGAGTAAACAGCTATTTTGTTACTGTATCTTAAGACTGATGTACGTAAATGATCTCTGTTCTGATTTGCTGCCCTGTACTGTGCCTCATTCAAAAGCAGCACGAATAGAAACACTCCTTTTAACTTCAGTATGAAGTTTGTGAAATTAATTCACAAAAAAAAATGTTTTTTTTCCAACTTAGTTTCCATATATGGAGGTTATGGGCCGATCACCAGTTGTCCTTTAGCAATCGTCCAATGCCAGTTCCAATCAAGGGCAGGATGACGCAACAATTGACTACTCAGGCAAAAATGAAAATTTAAATTTAAATTGGTTTAATAACCAAAACATTACAACAGACTTAGTTTTACCTACTTAGTTTGGCCATGAAGCAGTCTTACAGCTAACAGCTTCATGGCCAAATACTTGCGTGCCTTTTTCACCTGTATCAGTGGGCATTAGGCATTAGGCAGTAGGCAGTAGGCATACTGCAATCTCACAAACT